AAAAAAAAAAAAAAAAAAACTACAAGTGTGTCGTCACACCCAACTAATTTTTTATTTTTTTTAGGTCTCCTTATGTTGCCCAGGCTGGTCTTGAGCTTCCGGGCTCAAGTGGTCCTCCCACCTCAGCCTCCCAGTGTGCTGGGATTACGGGCAAGTCACTTTGCCTGGCTGGTGATGTTTCTATGTTTATGACTTCAGAAATGGTAAGATAGCTGATTCTCATTATTTTCGGGAGTTATATACTACAAACTTGCAGCAAACACTGAAACATCTTGCCAAGCAGTAAATACAAGGTTAGGTTCCCATGAGCCGCTGGTCACAGGAATCATACATAACCTTGTTTTATGTGTGTTTACACTTAAAGACACCTTATTTAGTATATATTGCTGATCATTAACACTGAGCTTATGGCTCAGGCCTGAAGGCAGCTAATCTGACACAAGCAGTTTCCACAGGCGTGTCTTAGCCCTTCTGTGCATAGGAACAGCGCCTGGGCGACCTGCCTGGGGGCCATGTTAGCAATTAGCAATGACTGTGCCTCAGATAAACTGCATTGGCCACTGCACAAAGCTTGGGGGCCTTTTTAAACAGCAGAATTACTGTAGCATGAAGTAAACACATGTGAACAGGATGAGGCCGAAATGAAAAGGCAGGTTAAGTGTCACCTTCTTCCACTGCAGCTGGGGACGCATGTGTCATGCAATTTGAGTGTGTCATCGCTCTGCGTGTCCAAGGACCTTACAGTGGTTACAAATAAAGTTTGGCAGTGAAGCCAGTTTACAGAATGGAATCTGTGAATGAGATCAACTGCACTTTATTGTGGATTGATAAAATCTCTGATATTCAAGAGGTGCAAAAAACAGAATTTATCCCATGGTAGACTTTGTTAAATTTTATTTAAAGGCTTGAAATTTGAACTGAAGGCAGCCATAAGTTTTTATTCATTGCATTATATGACTCCAACAAGCCTGTCTGGACACCGCCACAGTGCTGTGCGTGTTCGAGATTTCACCCGAACTGATGAAACCCTTTCCCAAATATTTTACGGGTTCCCTGTGCTTTGTAGATGCACTTTCCCTTCTTGCTCATTCTTACATTCAACAGGAACTTGCTAACCGCCTTCTCTGTCCTGGGCACTGCACCAGGTGTAGAAGAGAAGCTCTCCCAGTGGCGCCCACACTCCCTTGCAGCCTTGCACCTTGTGGGTTTAGTAAATGCTGCCTCAACATAAGTGATGCCTCATATTTTACAGAATAAAATGCAATGGGAGCAGTTGCCCAGTTAATCGAGATTTCAGCACAAATACCTGAGAAGTTTTTATTGTTTTTAGTGTCCAATTATTACCATTATGGACTCATTCATCTTGTATCATCCTCCATCATTTTTCTCACACGTTTAAAATACAAAATAATGTCTTAAAAAGACATGATGCCAATAGGTGAGGCTTTAGGGGAAAAAATACCTAAAGATGATTGGGGTGGTGGTGGTGAGGGAGGGCTGCGCCTAGCAGAGAACTGTATGGGAAACAGGGCTGATGAGAAATTCCTCGGGTAGGTACCCAAGAGTCCGACGCTCAATTCCAATTTGACACTTTGACGTAAACCAGACCTTTCAGCATGATGCAGCCTTGCATAGTGATGGTATGGCGTGAAGGTAGGTTAGTGAGGGAAGTACTGCCTGCACTCCCACCAGATCCCAGCACTCCGCCAGAGGCTCAGGGTTCTAGGAATTCCTGGTGAGTAAAGTAGCCGCAGTGAGGAACTGGGCATGGAGCAACACGTATCAGAGGTAACCTCAGTAGGAAGCGGGAGGGCCGACATCCAGATCACATGCAGAATGTAGATGATGCGCACTATTTAATGAATGTCCATGCCTCTTCCCTCCCCATTCCACGCCAGGGTTAAAGACTAGAACACAAGGACGCTTCTTGGTGGGGTTGGGAGGACGCACTCCTCATTCATCCTGTCAGTTCCTCTTCCTCCTCCTAAACTCAGGCCCTGCTTTTAGATATGCTCCGTCAAAGTACTTGCCCACCACTAACCTGCCCTGCTTTTATTCTCTACCAGCAATAGAATGTGGATCACTCATGTTATCCTTAGAACGAAAAGCAACAGGAGGACGATGGATCCAGGAGGGCTCTGATGGCACACGTGTGCTACCTGGCCCCGAGACAGGATAGCGATACCTTCTTCCTAGCCCTTCAGACTTTATTGGCCTAGATATCTACTAGGGGAGGTCAGATGTGAGCCTGGATTTTATAAAGCTCAGACCTTGGTAACTGTGGTAAAAGCAAGATAGCCAATTTTTAGCCAGGGAGGCAGGAGTGAGTTGGTGGAAGACTTTGGTAAGCAAGGTAAAGAACAGAAGGTACAGCGACCAACCCCCACCACCCAGCCACCTGTTAGAAAACAGAAAAGACATCTGCCTGCCTTTCAAGCTTTGCCAAGGATACAGAGACTCACTTCCTCCAGGTTAGTCACAAGCTGGGAGACTATAGCAACTGCTTGGTCTTTTCCTGGTCCTAAAGCGTACAATTTCCAACCTGGAATTCTAATTATTTTCGTCTGGCTCACAAACCTTGTAGGTCTTGATAAATTGTTACAGAAGTACTGGAAGATGCTTTCTATACCCATGTTTCTAAATCTAGTTATTTTCTTTCAAAGTCTCCGTCTCCTGCCACTCCCCCCATTTCATTTCCCTTCTATTCCTTCTCAAGCAAGATGTATTGTAATAAATCAACAGTGGCATTTCATGGTTTCTCCCCAACTTAAGTGTCTTCCAGGGCAGGTTCCTATCTTTTTTCTCTTCTATGGGGCCTACATGGTATTAAATACTAGCTTGATAACTGATGCTATGAATTGAATTGAATGTTTGTGTCCCTTCAAACTTCATCTGTTGAGATCTTAACCCCCAAAGTGGTGGTGTTTGGAGGAGGGGCATTTGGGAGGAAACTGGGTCATGAGGGTAGAGCCCTATGAATGGCATTAGTAAGCTTATAAAAGGGACTCCAGAGAGCTCTGTCGCTCTTTCTGCCACCTAAGGATACAAGAAGTCAGTCTACAACTAAGAAGAGGGCCCTCATCAGAACCTGACCACAGTGGCACCCTGATCTTGGACTTCCAGCCTACAGAAGTGAGAATAAGTTCCTGTTGCTTATAAGCCATCAGTCTATAGTACTTTGTTATAGTGGCCTGAACTAAGACAATTGATTTTCTTTTTTTTTTTTTTTTTTTTTTTGAGATGGCATCTCACCATGCTGCTTAAGATGGAATGCAGTGGCCCACCATCTCAGCTCACTGCAACCTCCGCCTCTTGGGTTCAAGCAATTCTGGTGCCTCAGTCTTCCGAGTAGTTGGGATTACAGCTGTGTGCCATCACGCCCAGCTAATTTTTTGTATTTTTATTAGAGACGGGGTTTCGTTGCATTGGCGAGACTGGTCTCCAACTCCTGGCATGAAGTGATACACCCGCCTCTGCCTCCCACAGTGCTGGGATGACGACTGAGCCACAGCACCCAGCCTTGATTTTCATGAATACTCTCCACTTGTCATAAAATTCTAGGAGTCACAGTTTTCTAAAGGGACTAAAACACAGCACTTCCTAATCATGGAAAATTCTCCAGATTGTGAATTAAAGCTTTTAGCAGAATCTCAGAATTTCCAGACTAAGTGCACAGAACAAGGTGGGATTATGAAAGCCTTTGTCACTTCCTAACCTACAGCAACACTGGATGAGGTAAGATAGAATATGACCTGCCTAAGTTTGCAAAGCGGAACTTAAGAACTGCAGGTTCTCATATAATACATACTCAGTATAATAACTGACATTTAGAAGCTTGGCCACTGATTGATAAATGAATCATGCTAGAAAATATGCATTTACGACCTTTTAAAAATGCACTTTGCAGTTAGTAAGAGTTCAATAAAATAGAAACCGTGCATTAAGTGGTCTTTATTGATGTTTTACATTCAGTTATTTCTTCATGATCAGTTCTTCAGTTAACTGTACAAGTATGATAAATTATTTTCTATTTGCTGTGGGAATTTAAATGTAAAATAAATACAAAATACATTTGTGGTTTAATGAACATTCAATGAAGCATCCTTTCTGAGGTATTCCTCTCAGTCCGGTTTTATCCCAGATCTTTTTACTTCCCCTAGGGATAGTCTATTAAACCACACAATGGATCTGTGAACTTGTGGATCAAGTTCACTGAATCAGTGAACTTGTGTTGAAATATATTAGACATATTTTTTGATCTCATCATACAAGACCAATACAAAAGCACCGCCCATGCCTCTCAACACATTGGACCAGGCACCTTTGAAGAAGGCCTTGGCTCCTTCATCTTTTGCAATCTTCCTCCAGCAGTCAATTGTCCCCGTGTACATAATGTCCGCTGTGGAAACAAATGTTGGTGAGGGCTCCATAACGCTGGAGGAAAGAGACTTTTCCTCTGAAAGATCTCTGCACACACTGTTACCAGTTTTGTAAAATTAGGGTCATCTGGGCATGAAGTCCCAGCTCCATGCAACATTCAACTGGACATCTCCTTCCTTGCTTAACTGGCAGGCTCCTCCTGTCATTCCTAGTCCATTAGTTCAAGGTCAGTGAAGAACTGGGGCAATTAAACAAGCAATTCACAGACTGCCCAACTGAAACAGGAAGGGCACAGTGGAGCAGGAGTGTTATGCTACGTGGTTACCTTTTTTATGGAGGACCAAACTGAGGCCTAGCCTCAGATTACACTGCACAAGGTTATGCAGTTACAATAAAAGGCTGTAGCTATTAATAAAAAGCTGAAACATATGAAACTGCTAACACTGGACTGGTTTTTATTTTTAAAGTGTCAATTTCCTATGGTTCAACCAATAGAAGCCAAAACTTTTTCTGGTACAACACATTGCTTCAGGCCATCTCTACCCAGCTAAACACCCCGTCCCACTAACACCTGTGGTAACCAGGAGGGAAGCAAAAGTTCTTTGTAAGAAGTAGCTAACTACTTCTTTTCTCTGGCTTTTGCACCCAGGCTGTAAGGGAAGAGGGCCTAGGGTCTCTATAATGCTAGATACCTACTTAAATTCACATCTAAATATCTTATTTTTGTTGTTCTTATCATCTCTTTAATAAAACGGAAAAAAAACTCTGCCCTTAAGGGATAGTTGAGAATGTTAGGGGGAATTAACACAATCTTTCTTCCCTATGTCCTTATCAAATAATTTTGAAAATGAATTTCCAGTAAGGAAGACTGAAAGGAGCACTGTGAAACGTTCTCCTGGGACAAAAATAAAGAAGTGTACATCAGTAGAGCACAGCTTACCCCCTTTCCGGCCGGACTGCATCATCATCCTACGACGAACAGTGTCAAAGGGGTAGGACACCAGCCCTGCGACCGCCGTCACACTCTGGGCAATCATCCAGCTCACAAAAATGTGCACATTCTTGGGGTCAGGCAGCATGCCTGTGGACAGAGCCAAGAAGCCGAGGCGCTATGAGGTGACTACTCTCAGCAGAACGCAGGTGGAGAGAGAGAGGCCACTGCACCTCCAACTCCACACTCTGACCTTGCGGAGAACCTGCCCCTATGTAGGTGCCTCACATATGACCAGGCAGCCAGCAAAGGTGGCTGCGGCCCTCTAGACCCAGTGCTCTGCTTGTATCCAGGGTACTGGAAGTGGCTTCAAGTTAAACTCAGTAACTGCTATGGTTGTGTCTAGAGGGAGACAGCCTCCCGCTTCCTCCTCTCTGAATAAGTAAAGGCTGGAGTTTATTTCAGTAGAGGACACAAAGAATCCTTTAATGATTAATTTACTCACAGCACCTCTGCACTCAGAAGCCTCAGTTTAGCCCAGAGACTAAAAAAAGCAAGGTCAGCACATACCAAATCCTTTGTGAGTTACAGACCCCACAGGATCTTCTCTCCAGACCCCCCTCCTTCTCCCGATGCCCCTCTCTCACCCTTGGCAGTATCATAGACTCCGAAGTAGGCAGCTCTATAGATAATGATGCCTTGGACAGAGACGTTGAAACCCTGGTAGAGACCTCTCAGGCCATCAGACTTGAAGATCTTGATGATACAGTCGCCCAGACCGTGGAACTCACGCTGGGCGGCGCCCTTGCCCACGTCGGCAGCCAACCTGGTCCTAGCAAAGTCCAGCGGGTAGACAAAGCAAAGGGAGGTGGCCCCAGCGGCCCCGCCGGACGCCAGGTTACCAGCAAAGTAGCGCCAGAACTGCTTGTGCCGATCCACACCCCCTAGGAAGAGCTGCTTGTACTTGTCCTTGAAGGCGAAGTTGAGAGCTTGGGTGGGGAAGTAACGGATCACGTTGGCCAGGTTACCCCTCCAGAAAGAGAGAAAGCCCTGCTCCTTGGGGATTCTCACCACGCAATCAATGATCCCTTTGTACTGCTTCTCAGCGCTGATCTGTTTGCTGGCATGCTGGACCTGGTGGTGGGGAGGGTGGGTGACAGAAGACAGGCAGGGCAGAGGGAAGGGAAGAGGACAGGAGAAAAAAGAAGGTTTGCACTTCCTAGATTTCTCTTTGAGGAAAAAAAAAAGGATAAGGAAATCAAATGGATACTGAGGACGTGTAAATGAATGTTAGTTACTGGATAACAAGCCAAAATAATCCAGTGTTGCTTCAATTATTAGGGTATTTGAGGGAACGGTGTTGCCCCAAATAAACTGTATAAAGCTAGCCATTTATTTATTTCATTTTCCCTAGGTTTGAGAACTGTAGGAGGGGCTTAATGGGGGAGAGAAATGAGTATCACCCCTTGCTTCAAAGGGCTTTGGATTCAGTAGACATGATGGGCAGGAATGACAATTTCTCAGTGTCAGACAGATCACCCTGGAGATGAGGATCTCTAGTAAATGCTCCAATAGAGGAAGAAGAATAAATCCACTAAGCACCGGAGCTCCAAAATTTTCAAGCAGATAATCCAAGTAATTAATTATTGAGGGTTTGCTGTCGTTGTGAGCAATCTGTGGGGGGTTTCATTGTTGGTAATTTTGACTCCCAAATTGGGCTCTTCCTCACTGAGGCGCCCTGACCTTTTGGGCAGGTGGAGAAAAGCAGAAGAGGATGACGATAAGCCATTGATCGACCAGGCAGGGGAGGAAAAGATTTGGAGACAGGATGAGTAACGTGATCTGAGTTTACTCCAAAAATTGTTTCTTAATCTTTCAAAACCTCGGCTTCATCTGTAAAATGGAGAATAACTCTCTCACAGAGGTTATATAAAGATGAATGAAACAGCGTCAGCCTACACACAGCATTGTGCATGAGCTCCGATAAGGGAGTTCTCGGGTGATGGTTACTTTGATGCTTTTATTGTAAAGGTGGGTGTGCATAAGACGGTGCCAAAAAACGCTGGCAATCACTAGGTGGCCCGGCCTGAGTGCATGCCCGCGCTGTCACGGGCGCAGGATCTGGCTCGCGTAAGCCGGCTCCGGGTGGGTTTCCATATATAGACACCCGAACGCCGGGCGCCACCCGACACCAGGAATCCGCGACTGACGCTGGACCTGTCTCTACGCAGAGGGCACCTTCCCTCGCCGGCGGGCGGGCCCCGGGCCTGTGGCCTGGAGCAGACTGTCCGCGGCGCCCCACCCGACCCGGCCCGTGCGCGCCCCGGCACCGCGCGCGCCCCTGCACCGCGCCCGCCCCGGCACCGCGCGCGCCCCTGCCCCGCGCCGTCCTCACCTGCAGCAGCAGTTTGACCCTCTCGATGGGGGCGACCGCGGTCTTGGAGACGGCAGCGGCGACGCCTCCGGCCAGGAAGTCCTTCAGGAAGCTCAAAGCGTGATCGCCCATGGTGGCGGCCGGTCGCACTCAGCCCGCAGGCAGCCCGCTCGCGCTCTCGCCCACGCCCGGCCTGGCACCGCCGCGCCGTCCCCGACCCTGCGCGACGCGAAGGGGCCGCCGCTTCTCCCGCAGCCCCCTTTATATCGCCGCCAGGCTCTCGCGAGAAGAGGCGGGCCGCGGCCGGCGCGCGCGCAGCGCATTGGCTGGGCAGGTGCGGGGCGCCCCCTCCTCCGCGCCGCAGAGGGCATCGGGGGCGAAGGCGCTTCCGGGAGCGCGGCTGGGCCGGGGGCTGTGCCTGCGACTTGGGACGTTTAAAGGGCACATTCATGTTCTCGGCCCCGCCGGGCCCAGGGAACACCGTGTCACCGCGGCACGTGGGCAGCGTATTTATAGCACAGGCCGCCGTAGGCCGGGGCGAAGCCGCCAGTCGGGCGTTCCTGACCCTCCGGCCTGCACGGGCCGCGCTCGGGCGCGGGGCTTTCGGGCTGTTTCCTCCTCGTCGATGTAAAGGCGCCCCCCACCAGAGCTCGCTGCCTGGATTTGGGCCTCTTCAGAGCCGTGCGCTCCCGAGAGTAAATGGCCATCCTCCCAAATAGATACTAAGGTCACCTGATGCTGTGATTGCCTCAGAGGATCTGACAACCTGCTGCTTCCACTGCTTCTCATTCAATCGTTTGTTCAATCATTCGTCCTGCTATTACATATTGATGCGTCTGGCACTCGGGGCCCACAGGAGAGGGAGGGTGCAGGGGGCCGCTAGGGGAATTCATACTTGCTTTGGCAAAACTCTATGACTCTAAAACATAGGACACTTGTTTTGTAAGCCCCTAAAGGGTTTAATGTGCCACTCTGCTCTCAGCGGAATTTCAGCACGTATCGGGGCAGAGCGTTCTCAGTCAGCTGGCGCCTTCTTGAGGGTCAGTGCTGTCAGCCTTCCAGAGAAGATCCAGTCCTTGGCTGTATTTGCTTCTTTTTAATGGCAGCTGGGCTTGAGGAAATGCTCTTTAATCCCAGGAAATTGATTGCAATTATTTTCTTAAAATATGTAGATCGGAGCTTTAATTTTCCTTAGCTTGTTTTTTAGGCAGTTCATGTAACCATACAGGGTTTCAAATACAACTGTTCCTTCCCCTGGAATGACTGCAATTAGTTTCTAACTTTAAACTCTTTACTCAATTCTTTTCCCATGTTTGCTCATTTT